TGACTGTCAGTGATACCTCTCGGGTCCATCAGAGAGTTTGTGTATGACCTCCAAAGGGCAGGCCAGTCCAATAAAACGCAGCATTCAGCAGCAGCCTCCAGTATGCCGCTCTTCAAGAACTGCCACTCGGTTTCAATATCAACTGTCATCACCTGGATCTGTTCAAACCGTCGTGCGATGTTGTTTGCAAGTTTCGCTCTAATGTCCACCGAACATAATGTTTCCCATTTGATTCTCCGGTTGCTTCTGCCAGCAGATCTTCGTATGGTACTGCATTTCTTACAACTAGCGTACCAACAACAAGGTGATGATCAGTTGATAGCTCTGCGCCTCTCTTGTATCTCTCGCCTCTCTGCGAATATCCATCACTGAACGTCTTAAATCAGACGATACGATTATCAAATCGATCATCGACTTCTGTGCACAAGCTTCCCTGTACCAGGTGTACTGATTCAATCTTCGATGCTCGAACAAGGTCTTAATAATTGGCAATCCGTTGTTTGCGCCAATCCGCAACAACTTCATGCCGTTATTGTTGAGGTCGCTACGGCCGCTTTTTCCAATCATTCCCTTCCAGTTTTCAGCTTCTACTCCGACATGCGCATTAAAATCGCCATGAGTGTCAGGAACTCTGTATTCGGTAGTTCTTACAGAGCACACTCCGGTTCCTCAAGGAAGAACTGATGTTCCGCTTTAAATTAAGCACATTGACCTGTAACAAGGTCAACGTTGTAGCCTGTAGCTTCAGTCGGAGGTTTGCGACCATTCCGCTTACAGGCTTCCATTCAATGATTCTGTGAGCCAGGTTGGGTTCTACAAGAACCCGAACACCGGCCTAATCGCGTGTCGCGATGTCGACACTTGAGTGGAATAGCTTCCACCCGCAGAAGTTCGAAATTCCAGAGCTTTTGGGCTTCGTTTACGACGAGAGTGCAGCAATGTAAAGCGGTTTCATCAAGTAGCTCCTGCTCTTTCCCTGTGAGTGAGGATATGTTTGAATTTCTGACCGTAAGTTTCCATTGTCGCTGTCGTTCGCGTGGAGCCTTTCCTTAATGCTATAGTGGCATCGCAGTGTCTGCTTCCATTAAGTTGAGGGCAGCGACTCCGTTGCTGATTGATATTTTAGTCGTCGCTTTGTCGATTTTCGGCAGCCGTTGTTGTCCTGCTACGCCCTCGGCTGCTAGAAGGCGTTGAGCACGTTCTGATCACCATTTTTTGTAACCTAGTTCTGTCCTCCAGCAGCCTGTGCGGCCCTTGATAACCCGAGCGACGACCGATCCAGCATATTGTTCGATTACAGAAATACTGTGAGGATAGGTGGTTGGGGATTTTGAGACGGTTTGCAGCGCTCCATCTTTCTTTTCAAGTATATTTCTTTCTGACTAATTTCTTAAAATTGTGGAGAATGTTTTCATAAAAGATATATTTCGATATTGGTTCGTAATTGATCAATTGGGTATTTTTGTAATTGATGGTGCATTATTATATAAGTGATGGTACCAACGTAAGTGATGGTACCAACGTTGTTATGTATGGTAATGGGTTTGATGACGTTCTGTTATGTTTTGGCGCTTGTCAGTGTCGTGTATGCGCAGTCATCCAACCACTTGTATGAATCTGTATTTTTGGACATGTGTGAACTGTTGCAACAGTCTCCTCTTCCACTGAAATGCTGTTTGTGAGCACAATACGAAACTTCTGTGAAATTAAACTGAGTTTGTGTGTAAGATTTCCATATTGTCTTATGGTTGCATTGTTTAAACTCTGGAAGCTGATTCAGTCAGCTGCAGTTCTGTATATTGGCTCTGACTCTAATTGTGTATATGTATATTGTGTATATTCAGCCAGTGTGTGTATATTGGCTGATGCTTCCCTCCGTCGTGTCTCTGTTGCATAACGGGCATAGTTCAGTGCCAACGTCCTTTATATTCATGCATTAGTTCGATTGAATCGTCATAGCTTACTTTACCTTGATGACATTTTTGTATTAAATTGGATAAACGTATGAGTTTTATAGCTTGACCGAAGACGACTGTAGACTCCAATTAAAAACGTCTGGTAGATTGTCGTGTGCTCATCTATCATGTAGATTCTGCGTTTTCGTTCATGTCGTCTCAAGGACTAAGTTTCGTTGGATTGTATTATTAAACAACCGCTCTATGGGAAGGTGTATATTTGAAAACGTGATAAGTCATTTTGTTCTTGACAAGGCATTCGATATGAGTGAAGACCCTGGAAGCATTAACTTTTATGATAAGGACGAAAGAAATCCTGTTTTCATTGATTTGCACGTTTTTGGTTGCCGAAAAGTATAAGGCTTAGCGATTGCTACTTTGTTGCAGTGCACTGTTTTGCGTGTGTCAATGTTTCATATGATCTACACAGTTCAACGGTCATTCTGGCTCTTTTGTTGGAGCAGTTTTGTCTAGCAACACTGAGCTAGCTAACAAGGTACAGGCGAATTTTTTATAGAAGGGATTGGTCGTTTGACAGCCCAAATGTAACAAACACTGGAGGCGAAAATGATTGTCCATTTTAGCTCTAAATGTTCAGCATAGCGCTTGAGACCACGAAGCTACTATACTTAAATTGGTTAATCTTAGCTAAACCTCCCTAATCGATCGAATTGTAGATCAACTGTTCCCGAGTGGTTCCTCATTCTTCACTTTTGCTAAGAAACGAACAGACAACCGGTTTTTGCAGCTGTTTTGCATATGGAATCGGTTAGGGTTAGGTGACTAATTCAATGTACTACACACTAGGATCGTACCGTCTACTTATTATGGTTCATTAAGAATTCTTTCAAATAATTGTTCCTACTTTGTTAAGCAAGACCTTCGTCTTTGCATGGTTCAGCTTTGCTTTCATCTGAAAAATCAAGAAAAACTCTGAACAGAGAACACCAAAGC